TCCACTACAGCCTATTTTGGGCTCTGTCATCTAAGCTACTCCACCACATGCAGAACTCTTCAGGAACCTTAGTAGTCATAAAACATTTCAAAAGGCCCTGGTTTCATCCCAAAAGAGAAAAAGGAGGTGCAATCTCAACTGTTCCTCAGGAAAGAAATGTTCACCTGGACAAAGGAAGTTAGATGGTCTCAAGTATTCCTATAAACCACTGTATGCAATAATGCAGGCTATTCACATATATTATTTGTGCAACACAATACTTCCAAAAAATGTTGACTTATTTCTTCAGATATTTTAACCTTTTTTCTACTAAAGAACACCTGCGTATCATACTTCTCATCCTGTGCATGTAATTTTCAAAGATTCTGAAAAAAACACTTCTCTAGTCCCAGAAAGTAAACTCATTTCTCAAATAATTTATAAACCTATACCCAATTAATATCTTTTCACTGCCACTCCAGTCCATACTAGCCAAACAAAGCTGGCTACCTTGTCAAAGGCATGGTTCACACAAGCTCATGTCAGCTAACAACTGCCACTAACTAAAGCTGAATGGGGATCTGTACTCCTTTTGGTCATTATGTTTGGGAAATCAACTGAAATCTGAACACCATGAACTGACAGATGTGTAACTATTTCAGCAGTGCAGTCCACACCAACACCCCCAAAATCAGACTGAAAATCCTCCACACTGCCTATCTTGTCCTTGTTGAAGCCAATGCCTTGCTGAAGCCAATGTAGATTTTGCCACCCATTTCAGTGAGGTCCAAGATATTTTCTGTAGTTGACACACCTCAAGAAATTTCAAGCTTCAACATCAGGTCTTGAAATTTCACACTCTGATCACAAGTTCCACCTGAAACAAGGCAGATCAGCCCCAAAAAAATATCAATCTCTTGCAATGAAGTGAAAACTTTCTCCCTGGACTTCCCACTCACCACCCTCTTTCTTAATAACTTCAATGAAACAGGCTATTTATATTAAATTTTGACAGTGACTTGCCTACATTTTTTCCTTGCCTTTTGGTAAGCATTCCTCGACTCAAAGTAACATCAGAAGTAGCTCTAGTACATTTTAAAAACAGTGCAAAACAATAAATTCAAGCAATTAAAAAAAAATGATAGTCTATTTGTGCTAGTTGATCGTGTTAAGTTTTATTTTGTCTAAAACCTCAGCGATTCTCAAAGTAAAAGTAATATAGATATGGTAGTTATTTCTTTGGCAATGAAAACAGGGGCAAATGAATATTTTGAAAATAAAAACACACCTATTCATTAACTATGTGATGATCTTAAGAAAAGTCCGTTCAGGTAGGTGTTTATGCATTTAGATTTGTGCAACAAGGGCTTTACTAACAGTGTTTATTCCAGCTTTCAAACTAGAACAGTTGCAGGTCACAATGTAAGAACAGTTTGTGGATCCTCCTGCAAGGAAGCAAAACATGCTTGGGTTTTTTTTGTTTTTGGTTGGTTGGTTGGTTGGTTGTTGTTGTTGTTTTGACAACTCCCATGTCTACACTGGACAGGGCATATCACCATAAAAAAAGCTCTACAGCACAGATGCAACTTGTTTCCACAGAACTATTAGAAGAAATGATGCCAACTCTCTGAACAGAATGCACTACATCACCAAAGAGGCTCTTAAGCCTGGCCTGTGTTACTTGGATAGGGATGACACACTTTCCCTGCTTCTTCTACAATAAAAAGCACCAGTCATTAGACTTCTCACAAGCCTCATGAAGCACGGAAAGGCACCATCACTGACCAGTACGTCAAGCACAACTGCAGTTATGGAGACACAGCTTTTCTGGAACTGATGTGGAAGTGCACTAGCAAAACTCTGAAAATACAGTTGGAGTACAGTGAATGCCCAAGTGGCGTTAGGAACACATCACACCTGCAAAGCTCTTCCTCCTGGGACTATGGACTTAGCTCTGCTGCAAAACTTTACGGATACAGAAAGAGTCCTTAGAGGAAATTGGAAATGTAGCTTAAACTAGGAGACTTTTGAGGGTTTTTTTCTCCAAAATATATAAAGTCCACTGAAAAAGGGCGCATGGGGGGCAGGCAAGCTGCACATGTGTAAGTTGACACATTTAGCTATGGTAGAACCAACTCTGTCAAGGGCCCAGCTATGTAGCACTGACCTCACCTAAAGCCACATGTCTACTGAGAGTGCTGTCAACTCAAGAATACAGGTATAACGTGCAAGACAAGTGCTTGAAGTATTAATAAAATAAGAATGCATTTAAAACACACATCATACAAGCAAATATGCCAAAGTGCACCAACAAAAGAACTGGACTAGTGTATCACCACGATGAGCTTCTGCACTGCACCAACATAAACAAGCTATGTGAGATACATAGTATTACTTGCAACAACAACAAAAATAATTAAAAAAACGTTTTAAGCTCAGACACCATCAAAGAAATACATCTAAAAAGAACAGATGGGTTATATTTAAATACAATTCACCAAAGATCTGCAGATGAGAATACATTTTACTGTAATGCAAGCAGGTCAGAGTAGAGAGTATACGTAGTAATGGGACTAGTATTACACCCTGACAGAATATAAACTGGACATTTTTGTCCCATTTCTGTCACTTTTTCATTATTTTTACAAATTAATGAAAAAATCCACACACAATCTGCCAGACATTAGTGCATAACAGAAATTTTATTGTAGAAAGGTATGGTACCACTAAAAAAAAAATTCACTATCTTGATCCCAAGACTTCTGTTACCAAAAATACAAAATAAGAGAGTGAATTTCATGTAATAATTAGATTTGTGAAATATGAGCAAATATGTACTTCACACTCAAATTTTTAAACAAAGTTTTAGCAGATGTATTGTTTTAAAAGCTACAATATTAGCAAGATTGTCCCCATGAAAATCTGTAGCAAACAGTTTAAATCCAGATCATTTTAAGTATATTCCAAGCCATAAAGGTGTATTTCCAGAAATGTCATTTAAATCCCTTTAACAGCAAAAGACAAAGAATTTAAACAGCTTTTTAATTAATCCCAAATTTTAAAAGATCTCCCTCTCTGTTTGGGAATGAGCAAAAGGCATGGGGAAGCCTCCTCTGATCTGTCAAAGAACATAAAATGAAGAATTAAACCAACATTCCACACTCCTTAGCGGGCACAGCATAAACTGGTCTGGCAGTATGCTTGCTGTTCCTGAATACAGATGTTGTTGCTCTTAAACTCAAGCCTCACAAGCATTGATCATATTACAGAGCAATGTAAAATTAAAAAAAAAAAATAAATCAAAAAACAGAATACCATTTTCAACACTCTCCCTAAAACACAGCACAAAACCAAAACTTAAAAAAATGAATATTTTAAGTGAAGCTGCTAGATTTGAATCATCTGGAAAAATCACTGTCACCTGTGAGACAGAGTGATAAAAGCTCATATAGTCCCACCTCAAAAAAAAAACCTACCACAAGTAACAGCAACAAAATTAAAAAAAAAAACAAAACCACACACACAACCACCACCCCACACACAACACCACAACCAACCTACCCACCAAAAAGTTACTTGCTCTTGTATTTTTGCAAGCACTGACAAAGGTATTGAAGACTCTTCAATGACAATTATTTTGTCCTATATACTACATACAGTGTATTGTGTTTTAAGGGTACATTTCTTTTTAATGACATTGATGTGTTTTTTGGTCATCATTCAACAGAAAAGGATGTTCTTTCAAATGTTTTTTCTTCCTGCACTTTGAGTGCAACTCATGTCAAGAAATGCAGGTTTTAAAGATACAGAACAACCTCCGAAATTATGTTTACAGGCTTTAAAGGCAGGAGCCCTGCACCCTCTGAACCAAGACAGTTTTTATAGCTCACAGAACCGAGACCCAGACTACTCAGAAGATGGGGGAAGAATGAGAAGGCCGCGAATCAGAGCAACCACTCTGACGGACCCTTCTTCCCAAAAAGGGACATGCCCAAATCCATCCACCCTTTTTGCTTCCCTGCAGACACGCTACCAATTCTTCATCTCTCTCCCCAAGACACATATATATGAAATCCCTTACAGCGATTTCTTAAAGAAAGAAAGCGCAGAGGGGGAAAAAAGCAACCAGCTTCTCAAGTGCCGAGCAGGCAACCCTTCCGACACAAAAAGAGAAATGGCTCACGCCCCACACGGCGCGGCGACGGCAGAAAAAAAGCCTTAAAATGGCGCCGGTGGGGGAGGAGAGCCGGCGTGAAACTGCGCAATAAACGCTGGCAGGAAGCCAGGCAGCGCCATCTTCCCCCTTCTCGCCCTACTATTCTCACGGACAGTGGCACCGCAAAGTCTCGCCGCCGAGCCCGGGCACAGCCGGAGCCACCTCCGGAGCACCTCTCCCCGCTCTCTCAAACTGTTTCGTTCCCAACTGCCGAGCGCCGGGAAGGAGAGGAGCGAGACCCGGGGAGCAGAGAACCGGGGTAAAGCAAAGGCCTCCTCCACATCTCTTTGCTTCCCCAGTCATTTAGGAGCAGTCCTAAGTAAGCATAAACGTGCCCTCTGTATGTCGTTCAGGTTTTTTCCGGATTTTAATAGTGCTACATCTTCTTGTGCTATAATCAGCAAGTGAATATTGCAAATTGTAACAAGTTATTTTGCAAATTACAAAAAGTACCGAAGCTCCCTCATAACCCAATAAACGTGAACTGTGAGGATTTCTGAAAATGCCCTGCACACCCAGCGACTGTTTCAATCCACAAGTAAAAACTGCTCAGAAAACACCGTTTCTTTTACAGAAAATAACCCCAGCAGCAGAAAAGATCACGTTCACATCCGCTCTACAACAAAGCCAAAGGGTTACTCCACTCGGTTTATTTTTGTTTTAAAAATGCGTTACAGTTAAATAAGCTCACTCCGAAAGGGAAAAGTAAAAAAACAAAGGGGGAAAAAAAAATAAAACCCACCAACCTACAGCGGAAAACTCGGTCCCGAAAAGGAAAAAAAAAAGCGCATTAGCCCAAACCTACCGCCCAAGCATTTCGCGCACCCACAAAAAGCAGCACCGTTTCCATTCCTTGGGTAAAAGCAGAAGGCACGGAGCAATTCAGAGGAAATTGCAAATAAAGAGCCAAACAAATCGAATCAAATCTGGTGACACCAAAAACGAGGAAACGAGTGAAAAATAAATCCCCAGAAGGCACAAATCTGTGACACAAGCTCAAAGAAATTACAAGATTGGGATAGTGGCGAGTGGACGGGGGAAAGAAAAAAATCAAGCTAGGAGCGAAAAAGGAAAAAAGAAAAGAAAAATCCTTCCCAGCTCCACAGCCAGGAGTGAGACGAGGTGTCTCCATTTTCCCGACGAGGAGGAAGAAACAGTGTTTCACAGACCACAGAGCTTTAGAGAAAAGCAAAGAAACGAGGGGGGGAAAAAAAAGAGGGAGGAGATTTGAAAAGATTATTTTTCTTTCTCCCTCACACACTCTCTCTATCCCCCTCTCTCCCTCTCACTCTCTCTCTCACACTCACACATACACACACACATTCTCCCTCCTCTCCTCTTTCCATCCCTCTCTTGATGGCCATCAAGGGGGCGGAAAATTAAAAAA